GCTGATTCGAAATTTGAAAAGTGAAATGGATCAACAAAAAGAAGTTCTTAATCCTCAACATTTGGGCCTGTGTATAAGGCTCCAACTACGTTAAGGTCCTCTGGATTATCATCTCTTTCTTGTAGCCATGCATAACCTTCCTTATGCTCTTCATCTCTTAAAACGACGCCGTTCGCTGAAAACAACCAACACATACAAATCTTTTATTTTATCTATCTTACTAATTACAAATGTTTAATGTGAAAGACTATGGTCATTTAGTACGTATAGAGAATTCTGACCTGATGAGAATTTGTTGAAAGGGAAGTCTAGGAAATAAGTGCAATGTCTGCCTTCTAGATTGTAAGGAGGGCCAAGCACGTCTAGGACCGCGCACGCTGTTTCCGCCGTGAACCGATGCATGTTTCCGCCGTCTTCCGGGTACAAAATCGAGACGTTACATGGGGCGGTGAATGTTGAGTCCACCTTCAATTTCGCTAACCGGGTTTTCGAATCTCTCACTGCAATTGAGATTAAAAAAAAAAAAAGCAACTTCATTTTTGTAACAGAATGTAGAAAAGGAAACAAATATTCAGAATAATAGAATGATGATATCATGAGGCGGAAACACAAAACAGTGATCAAATGAGCAGAAACATTTTAACCGAACCGCGTTTTCGCAAACGAATCATAAAACACTAAAAAAACTGATTTTAGTTAATTTCTAGTTTGCTACTATACCTTTAATACTCTACTAAAACGTGAAGACGTGTGAAATGTAAAAATTCAAAACGTGAGAAAATTTGAGATTTCACCATTTTACCATCTTGGGTATTACCACTCAAAGCGTATAATCTTTCACTAAATTGGGATTAAAACTTGGACCTAACAAGTTAATAGTGACTTCCTTTTTGTCAATTTCTATCACAATGCACATTCGAATATCTAATGAACCCTAAATTCCCTAATTAAGCTACCAGCGATTCAATGCAAGATAAACAATACAAAAACAAGTTTTCTTGGGAAGGAAGTAAGCTTACTTGGAGCATCAACCACCCAATCATACGACTTGATGTGCATTGTACCAAATAAAATCTTACTAAAAACTGTCATCCCTGGATGATTATGAAGAGGAATCACACCGGAAGGCGGTAAACAGAAAATCCCAATCTGCGGTTAAAAAAAAAAAACCTAAACCATGAGATTACTTATACCACAAGAAAGAGACAATACAAGTGTACAGTGTAGTGAAAGTACCGAGAATTGTTCACATTGGTATAAATGGAGATACGTTATCGGTGGTGGAGACAGATTTTCAGGTCCGGTGTTCTGTCGGAAATACGGCATGGTCGGAGTTAATCCGACATCCTCTGGTTTCATATTGTCTATCCAATCAAAATCGAAAGTTTATGTTAACCCAGAACAAGAACAAAGCTCCCAAAAAAGCATGAGATTTGAATCAGATTTCTCATACCTAAAACATCTCGTAGTTGTTGGATTTTATCATCAGAAGGAACAATTCCAGGACCGCCATTAGAGAACACTTGTTTGCAGGTATTAAACAACCGCCGCACCGGAGTTGTCTCATCAGTCATCTTCCGTCGCCACGTCATCACCG